CCCCACCCCACCGCCCTTTGGTTCTCCTTTGGTTTTTATTTTCTGTTCATACATTTATCATAGCACCATTTAAGGAGACTGAAACGTATTTATTTACCCTCCACCCCCCAGCACAACTGTTCTCACTTCGGAGTCCCTTTTGGTCTCTGTCCACATGCATACTCATCCATAGCTGTTTTTGTACGTGTAGCATGGCGTGTTCTGCACTGCTGTGTAACGGTACATTCCAGACACTTCCCGCCCCGCCACCGCCTTCACAGTGACCATTTCCGTGGCCACAGATTCTTCCCGCCCACGCCCCTGACCTGCTCTCCTGTCCCAGGGCCTGCTCTCCCCGCCGTTCTCCTCCCCGCTCCCACGGTCTCTGAGCGATTTCTCCCAGCCCCTCAGATCATCTGGAAACAGAAAGGAAGCTCCCTGGGCTGCCACCTGCCCGGCTTCTCTACCCCAGACGTCCCAGCCACTGCCTCCTCCTTGAAAACTCCCTCTCTCCCCCTGGCCAGTGCTGGTCGGTGTTAAGTGTTAACCTATGAACCAGGAGGTCAGGGTTTGATTCCCCGACAGGCCACGGGCCCAGGTTGTGGGCTCCATCCCCAGTGGGGGCGGGGAGGGGGGGACAGGGAGAGGGTGCAGAAGCAGCCGATCCATGATTCCCACCCATCACTGATGTTTCTCTGTCTCCCTTCCTCTCTGAAATAAATAAAAGCCACATACCTACAAACAACCCCCCTCTCCCCCCCCCTTCCTTGGCGGTAGGAACGCAGCCAAACCACAGGGTGGGATAGCCATGATGCGTGAGGCTCAGAGGTTGTTTTCAATACAAAGAGGCTCCTCCCCGGAGGAAACCGTTTGGAGGGGCTTCCTGGGCCTTGTGCTTCCTTCCTCCGCGGATCTGGAGGGAGAAGGTCAGGGCGGTGCTTGGGCACCACTTGGGGTCCGGCACAGCCCGGGGCATGGGCTCGGGCTGAAGCCCTGGCTGGTGTCGAACACCCGGAAGTTAGGCTAAGGATGCAGACAGCCCTCGGCTCCTGGGCCTGGGCTGCGGTGCTGATGTTGTCGCTGTTTCTGCTTCTTTAACTGCGTCCCCCAACCCCCTCCAGCCAGCGGGGGGGGGGGGGGGGGTTCTGTTTCTCCTACTAGAGTGAGGCACCAGCCTCCTGTACCTCTGCCCCCTCATGAGCCAAATAATCAATTTAGGGCTGATAAAAAATAAGTGACTAACTTATTTATAACAAGACCTAATATTTATGGCGTACTTACTGCTTACCAGACACTCTGCTAAAAAGCATTTTATGTCGGCCTGGCATGGCTCAGTGGTTGAGCATCAACCTACGAACCAGGAGGTCACAGTTCGATTCCAGGTCAGGGCACATGTCCGGGTTGCCAGTTCCATCCCCACTGTGGTGCATTCGGGAGGCAGCCAATCAATGATTCTCTTTCATCATTGATATTTCTCTCTCTCTCTCTCTCTCTCTCTCTCTCTCTCTCTCTCTCTCTCTCTCTCTCTCTCTCTCTCCACCTCCCTTCCTCTCTGAAATCAAATTTTAAAAAGCATAGGTTTCTTTAAAAAGCCTTTTATACTTGTCATCTTATTTATTCTTCACAACAACCAAATAAGATAGGGAATATCGCTACCCCCGTTTGACAGCTGGGGAAATGAGTCTCTCAGAAGTTAGCAACTAGCCCGGATCTTCCTTAAAATTCTAGCTGTATACCCCACCCCACCCCAGCCACCCCAGCTGGGAGGCGATGGGTTAGTGAAGCAGCGATGAGCTGCCCCCTTTCCCTCCCTCCAGAGAAGCCCCTTGCTGGGTGGAAGTTATTTCCTATAAAGGCACCGGCTAGACATGTTCCTTTCCCTTTCCCATTCGAGGCTCTGCCCTATTTCTCCTTAGAAGACTCTGCTTAAGGGGGCAGGAGGGGCAGGGAACTCACGTGAGGGAGGAGGGGGAAGAGGGGATTGCAGTCTCAGTCTCCTTCCCCTGCAGCCTCGGGAGGAGAGAGAGGAGGGGGATGGGCGGAGCAGCAGCCTGTGATTCAGGTCCCTTCCTGGGCCCTGGCCACGGGAGTCCCCATCCCAGGTGCTGTGAGAGCCCCGCCAGCTGGTGGCGCAGTGGATAGAGCAGCTGCTTTTACAACAGGCTCCAGGGCTCCTGCCCCAGCGCGGCCCCTTGCTGGCCGGGTGGCCTGGGTGGACAGCCGAACTTCTACCATATGCTCTGAGGCCTGAGCCCTGGGCGGGGGAGTGTTTACTGAGCCTCAAAGAACAGATGCACCGGCTTCCCTCTCCTGCCCCTCATTCATCCTGGGGAAGCACACGCCCTTAGGGCTCTCAGCCAAACTAATCAGGATCTGGCGATGGGCCCTAGCTGGCTTGGCCTATGGACTGAAGGGTCTCAGGTTCGACTCCAGCCAAGGGCACATGCCCGGGTTTGATCCCCAGTAGTGGGTGTGCAGCAGGCAGCCAATCAATGACTTTCTCCTATCATTGATGTTTCTATCTCTCTCTCCCTCTCCCTTCCTTTCTGAAATCAATAAAGAAATATATATATTTTTTAAAAAAAATCTGGTGATGGGAAGGGGTCTGTCATGGTGCCAGAAATGGGCTCCTCCACATTGAAGTCTAATTGTGGATATGGTCACATGTACCTTGTTATTCTGGGCTTTTATGTATGAATGAATGCATGTTTTTATTGATTTTTAGAGGGGTGGAGAGAGAAATATTTTTTTAAAATATATTTTATTCATTTTTTTACAGAGAGGAAGGGAGAGAGATAGAGAGCTAGAAACATTGATGAGAGAAAAAACATCGACCAGCTGCCTCCTGCACACCCCCCACCGGGTATGTGCCCACAACCAACGTACATGCCCCTGACCGGAATTGAACCCGGGACCTTTCAGTCTGCAGACCGACGCTCTATCCACCGAGTCAAACCAGCTTTGGCAAGAGAGAAATATTGATGAGAGAGAAACGTTAATTGGCTGCCTCCTGCATGCCCCCCCCCCCACCCACCCAGGGACTGGGCCTTCAACCCATGCATTCGCCCCAAACCGGGAATAGAGCTGGTGACCTTTTGGTTTATAGGTCCACACTCAACCGCTGAGCCCACACGGGCCAGGCTAATGGGGCTTTTAGACTTGGGCTTCAGGGCTTGAGGCACCAAATACAAGAGGGACCTGCTTTCCTACCATTGGGGGCGGGGGGGGGGGGGAGAGACACAGGCCCAGTGGGGTGGTTCCTTCTTGGAATTAGCTGATGGCTCCCCTGCAGCCTGCTGGGGCTCTGGGTCCTTGCCTTGCCACCCCGGTCCCCACAGGCATGGCTGCAGCCAAGGGAACAAAAAAGGCCTTTTAGAGTAGTCCCTTGGAGAAACCGAGGCACCGAACAGGAAGTGGACTTCTTTGCCTTCAGATTTTATTTTCCCTCCCTTCTCTGTCCTCCTGGCCTGCTTGTCCTCCACAGACCAACTGAACATCCCACGAGTGGGCCACGGGCGGGCCGGCGGCTGGTCTAATCGTAGCAGCGGGGGGGCCCCAGTTTAGCCCAACCCTAGCAATTGCCCGAGTTAAGTAATACTCCGATTCTCTGACTAAAGAGCGTTGCCGGAGCATCCTGATAGGGCCTGGCGATGGGAGGCACCCTCGGCGGCGGCTGGCCTGCTGCGGCCCCAGCCCCTGCCTTGGGAAGGCAGCTGACTCCAGGCCCCGCCTGATCCTCAGGGATGGGACAAACCCCGCTGGCAGCGGGGGGAGTGGGGAGGTAACGTGCAGCAGGGAAAATGAGACGGTCTCCTGCGCTCCAACACACGGGTGCCCAGGGGCTGGACAGCCCGGCACCCTGACGCCCCCTGGGAACCGGCTGTGCTGCGTGGGAATGCCGCCCGCAGAGCCTGGCTCCCTCGGGGCCGCCCCGCGCACGCTGAGCCTCGTCTCATCTGGGTGGGCAGAACGGATCCGTTCCCTTTGAAGACAGGTCCGCCACCGGGTGCCCGCCGCCGGCCGCCGCGGCAGGTTAAAAAACGCCAGGGCCGTATTTCTGGTACCTCAGTGTCCCCCCCGCGGAGAAAGGAAATGTCAGTGGAGCAAATTACCCGCCGAATGCATGGGATCTATAAATATTAAATTGCTCTGGCTTTCACCTGCCCGTGTCCAATTAAAGCTCCGGTCGGCGCCGGGGGACGGGAGGCTGGTTGGTGCGAGCCGGGCTGGAGAGGCAGGTGTCCCCAGAGGGCAGGGCTGAGGCTGGCCCTGCAGGCTGTGGGCCTGGGGGTGGGCCTGGCTGGAGGAGCAGCAGCTGGTGCAAAGAGCAGCGGGAGCCTCGCATGGGGTTGCTGCGATTTTCTATTCGCAGCTTTATGGGTGGGGTGTGGGGGCTCGCAGGGGGCTAGATGCTGCGTTTCTTATCCCAGCCTTGCTCTCTCCAGGGACTGGCCCCTCAGAGCAGATATTGGGGATCCCCACCCCCCACCCCCCCGAGGCAGCAGGGCTGGAGCTGGGCCACGGGCTCCCGGGCAGCCAGCTGTCCTCCTCCTGTCCCACTGCCACCCCTGCCACAGGCTCCTCCCCGACACAGGCCCCACCTTTGGGCGACCCCGTGGCAATGGCTGATTGGTGTGGGTTTGGCGTGTGTACCCTGCCAGGGGGCGTGTTTTCACACCGTCCGTTACGGTGAGACTCCTGGCAGGTGGGGGCCGCGCCTCCTGCTGCTTTGGGATCCGTTCGGGATTCATGGACTGCTTCCATGTGCCAAGGCCCCGTGCGATGTCCCATGAATAAATACACAGTCGCTGGTCTTTGCACAGCGGGACGAGGTGACAACTGCAGGGCATCCTCCCCGGGCACAGAGGGGAGCAGGGACTCGCTCAGGGTTCCATGGAGAAGGCGAGCCCGATGCCATCCCGAGGCTTTCCTGAGCCGCCGCCTCGTCCCGGGCCCTCCTGAGAAGGCCGAGCGGGAGCCGCCTCCCGCGGGCGGTGGCCACCCGGCTCTCTCTCCTGCAGGCATCCCCACCCTCATCGTGCTGGACCCGCAGGGGGACGTGATCACGCGGCAGGGCCGGGTGGAGGTGCTGAACGACGAGGACTGCAGGGAGTTCCCGTGGCACCCCAAGCCCGTGCTGGAGCTGTCCGACTCCAACGCCGTGCAGCTCAACGAGGGCCCCTGCCTCGTCCTCTTTGTAGGTATGACGCTCGGCGGGGCCGGGGGGGGGGGGGGGGGAGAGGGGGGGACTGGCCCACCTCCAGTGGGAGCGTCTGTCCCAGCAGCTTCTCTCCGTCACAGAACCATGCAGAGCCTGGGCCTTTGTCTCTCCCTGCAGCCCTGCCTTTGACCCCAGTGATTTATTCATGGCTCCCGGCCGTAGGAGGGGTTCGGAGCCGTGCCCTGCTCCCCTTCCTCTCCTTCCTCGCTGCTCCCACTGCCAGCTGGGAAGCACAGCCAGGCCCAGCCCCATGAACAGGCCCGGTGTTGGAAGGGGGCGGGGTCACACCTCTGCAGCTGCTTGGGGCTCAGGCTCCCGTGGGGCTGCTGCCCGCTGGTCGGTCCCCTGTGCTCTGGCCAGCTGGCCACGCTGCTGGGGCTCTCCCAGCCTCAGGCAGCATCTCTACGGCCAGCTGCCCCTCTCGGGCTCCCCCGTCTGGCTCACTCTGGTGCTCGGTGGGTGGCGGCCGTGAGAAGCAGGAGGGCACAGGAAAATCCACTCTCGGCTCCCTGCAGCCCCCTGAGGTGACGGATTCCTTTGGCGAACAGAGCAACTGCTGCCCAGGATCCACTGCAGCCCCTCCTGGGGGCTCATTGCTCAGCTCCAAATAATGCTGGGTCCCAGGAGCGCAGCTGAGATGCTGCCATACCCACTCAACTTCCCACCCCTGTTCTCTGGAGGTCTGGTGATCCGGGGTCACGGCGTCTCATTCTGTGACCGAGAGGGAATCTACCGGGACCGGGGCCTCAGGTCCTGGCTTCCGGGGAAGCTTGGCTCCCCAGGTGGGCTTGTGAAGAACTGAGTGAAAAGTCTCACTTTTGCGGGGGGCATTGGTGCCGCTCAGCGAGGCGAGCTGTCCTGGGGAGCGTTGTGCAGTGGGCGCTGTGTGAGCAGGGACCCCCCTCCTGCACCAGGAGGCCAGGCCGTGCCCCAGGGAACCTCTGCCATTCCGGGCGGCCCAGGTGGACGCCCCAGCCCTGGACCCCGGCGCCCTCAGGGGGCACCGCTCGCTGACCAGCCCCGCGCTCCGTGTCTCCCTCCCATCACAGACTCTGAGGATGACGGGGAGTCCGAGGCGGCCAAGCAGCTGATCCAGCCCATAGCCGAAAAGATCATCGCCAAGTACAAAGCCAAAGAGGAGGAGACGCCGCTTCTGTTCTTCGTGGCGGGGGAGGTGAGTGCCTGCTGGGCCGACCTTCAGCACGTGAGGGACGGGCTTTCGGGGATGCTAAAGGGGCCCTGGGGCCTGGGGTGACGGTGCTTCCCGAAGAGCTCACAGACGGGTGCGGTGTCTCATGGAAAACCACCTCCCGCCTTGCTGCTCCCTCCTTCCTTCCTCCTCGCTCCGCGGCCTCCACGCTGCAGGGTGCACTCCTGGGCCAGAGCCCTCTCTGCTGCCACCGGGATCGCGTCCACTCCCTCCCTGGGCGGGGGCGGAACCAGGCCCTGGGTGCTTTAGAGTGTCTGTGAGGTCAGTCCGCCTCACCAGTGAGCTTTTCCCCTGACGGGGATCCCGCTGGGGCCACTTCTGACCTGAAGTGCCAGCTGCCAGGAAGGGTGCGAGGCTGGAAACTGCCCGCATCCCTCTCTCGGGGCCTGGCTCATGAAGGTGGGCTGGATGGAGCAGAGAAGGCAGGGCCCGTCAGCCGGCCTCCTCCAGCAGGCTCCCGCCCCCTCTGAGACATTGGAGAGCCTGCCCTGCAGGCTGGGACTCTGCCTGAGGGGGTCAGCGGGGCGCTCTGCCTCGGCTCCCATCCTCAGGAGCCACCTCTGCACATGCTCCACGCCTCCCCGTCCAGCCAGGCACCGGCCATACTCCGGTTACTGAACTTTTTGAAGCCCCAGGGCCTCCTTTCACCATCGGTACCTCCAGCTGGTCAGAGCCCATGTTTATTTCATGCTGTATCTGGATCCCAGGAGAGGCAGCGGCGGCCAGACTCCCTGAACCAGCACCCATTCATCACCCCTCAATAGCCTCCTCAGCTAAGCCCTGCGGGCCCCTGCCGGCAGCTGAGTCCCCCCGCTCAGCCGCGGGTGGAGGGAACAAAGCGGGTTCACAGGCCCTGCCTTGGGGCTGCACAAGCCCACTCCACACAAAGCACAAATGCAGGCTGCTCCGAGTTTATTAAACTCTGACCCCGTTCAGCCAGCTCAGCGGGAGAGATGGGGGGAGAACAGAAAGGGCTGGGCTGGGTGGGGGTGGGGCTGGAGGGCTCCAGGAGCTGCGTAGAAATGTGGCTGAAAAGGGGACATTCTGTGGGTTTTCTACATGCCGGGCACCAGGCCAAGTGCTTCCCCTGTACAGTCCCATCTGCCCCCCCCTCCCCCCCTCTGGCTCGAGAGAATCACCGCTGTTGCACAGATGAGGAGGGCGAGGCTCGGGAGGTGGCGGCTGGCTGGATACCGGCTGCTCTCACGCCTCACCTCGCCCCCTGGGACCTGGTGGTGAATCCATTTTACAGGCAGGCGGCCTGGGCTCAGAGGAGTGCCTTGGCAGAGTCACACATGAAGTGGGCAGCAGAGAGAGGAGTGAGCGGGAGGTTGGTGCGACTTCAGAAGCAGTGCCCTGCTCCTTGGTCCCGGTGGTCCAGCAGGTGGGCTGGCCCACCAGGGGAGGATGCTGAGACCAGACAGCTGGACAGAGGGGCGTGGCCATCCACTGCTCTGTTTCCCTACCTGGCCGTCCCCCCCTTCCTGTACTCCTGTGTCTCCTGAGCTCCTGGCCTCGGCAGCTCCCTTGGTGCAGTCTCTGTCTTTACGCTCAGAAGCAAGGCAGCATGGGATGAAAATGGGCACAAGGCACTGGGCCATCAGGCATGGACCGAGCACCTCTGAGCTCAGGATTCCCACCCCCTCACATTACAACCAGAGCTAAGGGGGACCCCTTGTTTGTCTCCATCCTGTCCACTCTGGCAGGCAAAAGCCATCCCTTCTGAAGCCTTAATAGCCATTGAAATGTATCTCTCCAGGGTGTGTGTGTGGGGGGGAGGCCGTGGGAACTCCATGTACAGCCGTTGTCCGGTGTCTCTCTCTGTGAGTCATGAAGATGGTTTCCTTACCCACGTGGAGGGCCTGAATTGGGTAAACAGTGCCAGAGATGTTGAATCACCGAGCGGTGGGGGTGGGGGTGGGGGTGGGGGTGGGGGGGGAGATGATTATCAATAATCTTCCTAAAGATGTACCCTTTGAGGAAGGAATTCTTTTGGTCTCAAACTGGAGAAGTATAAGTTTATGCCTCTTGCTCACCGGCATAAGGCCAGGAATACCCCACCCGCTTTCTCGGCAGGGGGGCCCCGGTCTCCCAGCGAGGCCGCCTCGGGATGGGTGCGTGGGGCCGGTTTCCTGTCACCTGCCGAGTGAGGGGCGGCAGCGTGAAAGGTGATTCCCATGGTTACCTTGCAAGTCTTTCTCCGGGTCTTTGGATTTCTGGGTTTGCCTTTCTACCTAATAAGGCTGCATCTGATGCCAGAAAGATTCTCCTGGCCCGCCCCTGGGAATGTGCGGTAAAGGGTCAGCCTCCTGCTCAGATAAGTGCCGCAGCTTGTGTAAACGTCAGCATGTTTCTGCAGCCCCGTCTTCCCACCCGGCTCTGGGGTGCCTGCCGCCTGAAACGCAGTCCGGGCCGAAGCCCAGACTGGCCTCAGCACGGGGGAGGGGGGTGGCCGCAGACGATTGAGCGGTGACTGCAAAAGCAAGTAACCAGAGGACATCACATGTTTGCAGAGCAGAGGCTTTCATGCTAAGAGAGAAGACAGGCCTGGGGGCTTGGGTGATGCAGAGAGAGTTTCGGAACCAGCCTCCCCCTCTGCAGGGCAGGGCCCACCGCCCCGCCCTCTGAGAGCCCATCTCACACGGAGGAGGCCTGCTGTTCAGGGTGGTGATAGAGCGGGTCCATCCCGCCATCTGGGGAGCTTGGGCCCCGAGAATCTCTCCTCTCTCTGGAGAACTTACGGGTTGTCTCTCCCTTCTGGTGACTTCCAGGATGACATGACCGACTCCCTGCGAGATTACACCAACCTGCCCGAGGCTGCCCCCTTGCTCACCATACTGGACATGTCGGCCCGGGCCAAGTACGTGATGGACGTGGAGGAGATCACCCCTGCCATTGTGGAGGCCTTTGTGAATGACTTCCTAGCGGAAAAGCTCAAGCCAGAGCCCATCTAGTGGGGCTCCAGCCTCGTGAGACATTATTTAAAACTCAGTCTCCTCCTCTCCCTCCTCCTCCTCCTCTTCCCCTCCCTCCCCTCCGCCCATGGACTTTCCCGGCGTGTCCCGAACACACAACCCCGGTGTCCAGCCGCTCTGTGGTGCCTTGTTTCCCGCATTAACTCCTCACCAGCCCCCCGGTGCGCGTCCTCTCGGCAGCGGGAGACCCGCCGTGTCTGGAGACGCTGCTCGGGATTGGCAGGGCGGCGGCGGCCCGGCCTGGGCTGGGGCTGCGTCACGGGTCACCAGCTCTCGGCACAGTATCCGCCGGGCGTCCCCCCGAGGGAGCCGGCGGGGACAGCGCACGGTGCGCGGGCTCACGCAGCCGCGTGACACGGTGGCGCGGGGACAGGGCCGCCGCCTCGCTGGGCCTTGGCTCAGCGCTCCCGGCGAGAAAGCCTTTCTGGATGACTGTGCCTCGGTCCAGGGAGAACGGGCTTGTTCGCTGGCTCCGGGGCGGGGGCTCTGATCTCGCAGGAAGAAAGAGAGCTCCAGTGACGGTCGTGCAGCGATTGCTTTATTTGATTGGGCTCCCACCAAGGGAGAAGAGCTTCTCGGTCCCCCCTTTTCTCCCTCCCTTGATCTCGACCTTCTCTAAGCTGCCGCCTTCTCATATGAACAGCCCCCTACGAGCTTGGAATTTTGTTAATAAATTCTTCCCCCTTGGACATGTTCCCAAGAAGACGCACTTGGCCTTGGTTCTTAAAGGAGCCCTGCCTCCCCAGGGCAGACCTCCGACTCCGCCCGGCCCTGGGCCTGGGACCACGGGAGCTCTGGTGAGGTGCCCATGCCCAGCTTTGGTTACCCCCGTCACTCCCTTTTCTTTCCAACGCAGAGCTAAAAGGAGGCAGATGGCCAGAAGCCTTGCTCTCCCCTAAGAACCTGCAGAAAGAGCTGCGCCCGAGGGTGGGGTGAGGGCAGAGGACATGGCGATGAAGAGCAGGCCTCGGACCCACTTGGCCAGACCCTGGTAGTCGGCTCCTTATCCGGGCTGACTGACCACTGAAAGGAGAATAACCTCTGTGTGCTTGGGGTTTGTGATGGAGGGTTTGCCTGGGGGCTTGCAGGGTCTTAGCCCCTTTCAGCCAGACGTCTGGGTCTTTACAGCAGCCCCAGACCTTCCCCGTGGCTCCGCTCACGGCCCTCTGCCAGCCAAGCCGTGGATTTGGGAAACCCAGCCCCCAAATAGCTGTCACACTGCGCCTTGCCGAATTGGATTGTTGCTTTGTAGCTCAGAGGTACAAAATAAGTTTGGTAATGAGACTGTTACTTGATGTCACCAGCCTGATATGCCATCACCTCGTCAGCAATAAAGCAGGCATCTCTGGACGTTACCAACCACTCGGCCGTTCCTGTCCTTAATAACAAACATCTTTTTGCGTGTGGTGCTATGCTTGTAGGAGGTGGGCAGTGGGGGATGGGGCATAGGAGATTTCCTCGATTTTCATTGGACACCTGGTAGCTACGTTTCAGAATCATCAAGAACCCCGAGACCTAACGGTGTCATCTATCAAACCCCACAGAAGCCGGGAAGCTCGTTCGGATTAGAGCACCAGAGGCAGATCCCTGCCGGAGGCCTGGCTGCCACTGCTCTCGGTTTGACTCACCCTTGCACACAGCGGGTTCTCAGAGGAGACATCCGTGCGGACACGGTGCTCATTCCCTCCCTACAGGGGAGCAGATGCTCTGAAGCGGGGGAAATCCAGGTTGGGTAGCACAAGGAATCCCGCCCGTGTCTCCCTGTGGTGAATGGGCAATAATCGGAGATCCTCGAACCTAGCTCTGTCCTAGGGCCAGGGTTTCTCTGGGACCCCTGCCAGTGTCTCCCTTGGGTGGTGGGATGGAGGGTGGGGACAAGTTGAGTTTCACCTCCCATAGGAGATGGGCAAGATTTCTGTCTGTACCTTCTATCGTGATGACCTGGGAAGAAGAAGGTGGGCTCGTAGCAGCTACTTATCTTCTGGGGTGGAAGGAACAGGGTCCAGTGAAGAGTCCCTGTGAGTCATTGCAGCAGGAAAAAACAGGTCCCCTGTGGTCCTTCTGGGTCCCGTCCAGGGCAGATTGAACTACTTGCCATCATGTCACCTGGCTCCTTGACGCCAGGATCCCCTTTCAGAGAGGGTGCGCAGGTTAAGATCGGCGCGAAGCTTCACTAGAAGGGGGCTTTAGGGTGATAGAATGGCGACTTTGGGGCCAGTGCCCGTGAGACATCCCTGACTTGATAGCGCAGGTTATTGGTTATTGGTGCCGACGAAGTGGGTGGCTTCTTAATTTCCACTGAGCACCTCCAAAATACCTTAAGATCTTGTCGCTAATTGGAAGCAGGCTGAAACACCAGCTGTCGCGTATTCGGGGGTTTCTGACAGCAGCTAAGGAGACCATGCCCTGCAGCTTGAGGCAGGATGGCGGTTGTAAAAATGCCACCCCCGGGTTCCAGATTTGTGTTCACCACAATGACTTCCAGATTCGACTCGATCCGTTTTCACAACAGAAATGAGGGTGTGTATGTGTGTGTGTTTTAAATCTGTCCCCAACAATAAAGATCTGCTTCTTCTGGATTGGTATTACAGCGGGCAGTTGCAGATGCCAGAGGGTGACTGAACACCAGCTTCCTTTGTCTCCCCCTGCCCCGTCCCCCCCCCCCCCCCCCACACACACACTTGAAATCAATGGCGCTCACTTCCCCGAGCACAGGGAGCCAGGACTGCTCTTTTGGCACCAGCCAAGCTTCAAGTGGTAGTTTTTAGCCAGACTTTGTTTTTTCCTGTTGCCTAATTAAAGACACCGAAAAGCTGTTCTCTCCTCCTGCCGCCGTTCTGCAGGGCAGCGCAATGAATTCCGCAGTGAAGTAAAGACACTAGGATCCGGTCCAGGGACCGATCCGCCAGGACTAATAAGCTGCTGCTCTGTCACCTGAGGAGAAAGCCACACCTGTGCACATGGGCGTGCGAAAGGCTGTTCACTGGGATTACAGCGCGGAGAGGGGCAGGGCGGGCCGAGGGAGTGTCTGGTCCATGTCCCTCCGGTCATGCAGGCACGGGCACACCTGCGTTCTGTTCTGCCATTGGCCCTGGTTGGCGTGGACAGGCCCGTTCTTGCCTGTAGGACCGGGGTGCCACCCAAGCACAGATGGTAGGGAGGCTCAGCTGCGCCCTCGGCCCCTTTCCTCGGGGGGCCTCTTGGTGAAACAAGGACCGCCAGAGGCCCAGGCTCAGGAGCTTTCCAGTCCACTCTGGAAGGGGTCTGCGGAAGTGAGCGCTTAGCCCCTTTCTTTCCCTCTTTGCTGGTACAAACAGGGCAAGAGCACCCCCTGCTCTCCTCCAGGCAGGCAGGCAGGCCAGCCGCTCAAGGGGGAATTCTTTGGGGACAAATGGCTGTTGTTTATTAGCTTCATTATTGGTGATAATGGTGCCTGTGTGAAGGGTGAACTATTTCCCAGGAAACAAAAGGCCTGTATGTAGGGAGATTTTTATATTGGGTCTGCTTTATGGCCAGGGTCTCTCCTACTGGGGAAAATATTAGGATGTTCTACACACCCCTTGCATGTGAAAGCATGACGTAAATATGCTTCATTTTCAAGACATAAATACGTCTCACCCCCTTGGTGTTTGGAGCACTTCCCAAGCCAGGAACCGTGTTGTTAAATTTGAGTAGGAGTGTTCTGAGGCGCTGTTGGGTTTTCATTCAGTAATGTGCCAAAGCCTCCGTCCCCAGGCACCAGGCCGGTGGGAAGGAAGCGCAGAGACAGTCCCAAGTCTGGATTTGTAGGTGCTGGTGCCTCACACAGTTAGGTTCCCACATGGGCAAGAGCTAGGATACAACAGGAGGCAGGACCCCAGGAGCAGGGCCATCAGAGGGAATGGGAGTGCCTGTTGCAATCATTGGTAAGGGGTGTGAGGGAGACTTGGAAGCCAGACCCTGCTGCAGCCAGGCCCCTCCCCAGCCTTTGTTCCCTTCTTGCATTTTGAGGAAGCAGCAGCTTTGGTGATGATCCTCACCAAACAGGAAGCTTCAGTTTTAAAAAGCAGCTCTTCCCTGCAAAACAGATGCAGTAAGAACAGACCTGGTGCCATTTGCCACGCGTTCAGGTTTTCCCGACATACTTGGCCTTTGAGCAGCAGCCCTGGCTTCCTAAGCTCGGCTGTTCGCAGAGCTCGGCTTGCAGCTGCTCTCTCAGCTGCTCCAGTGCAGCAGGGCACTAGTTAGAGACTGACTCACAGTAATCTGGCTTATTATCTTTGTGTATTAATTGATGAAGAGACAAAAATAAGATCCTGAAGTTTAAAGGTGTCTACATGATTTTTTTTCTCACCCCCGCTCACCCCTAAAAAAAAATGTAAAAGGTGTCAGTCAGGTCTGCTTCTGCAAGACAGAGGTGGCTTGGCCAAAAGGGTGCCCTGGGCCCAGCAGGGCAGCCAGGCATGGAAGTCTGGCTGAGCGCTGGTTCTAGGTCTTTGGTGGCAGAATAACAAAAGTGGAGCTAAATGCAGCTCAGCTTGGATGGTGATGACATCTGGAGTTACTGTTACCCCTGAGGCAAGAGGTAGGTCCCAGGTCTGTTCAGCCTCTGGGCCTTCACTTGGGAGAGCAGCCGTGACTGGGGGGAGGGAACAGGTGTTTTTTTTGTGTGTGTTTTTTGGGGGGGTGGGAGGGGGGGTCCCCTTGCCCTGAAGCTCAAGCCAAGGACAAGGCAGTGGTTCCCAGTACGGCATGGGGATCCCAGTGTTTGCCTGAAGCTGCTTTCTCAGAGGTTCTATTCAAAGCGGAAGGGGAGGGGGGGATTGCTAGTTTTGTTTTGCTGTGTCCACTTCTCGTTTCTATGCATTTTCTCCTTAGTTTTGGGCCCACTGAGCTCCTATACTTCAAATTCTGCCCGGAGAATGACAATTTGGATGAGTCTCCAACTTACCCAAGCATAGTGGCTTGCAAAATGCTCTATCCTCTTTTTCAACTGTTCA